AAAAGAGATATTGAATATAATTTTCCAATCACTTATAAAATAGCCTGGGACTAATCCAGAAATAACAAGTTCCATAGGAAAAAAAAAAAAAGATAGAAAACTCCTTGTTATATCTTATGAGATTGCTGAAACCTTGATGTCCAATCTGGATGAAAAAAAAAAAAACAATGAAATTATGGTCATTCTGACTTTAGACTTTAGATGCTGAAATATAAAGTTAAATATTATCAAAGGTAGTCAAGCAACTTATAAGAAAAAATTTACCAACTACGAAGGGATTTTCTAATAAATATAATAGCTTGATAACAGAAACACCTATTAATGCAATTTACCACATTAACAGATTAGTGAAATAAAGAATATGATCATTTTAAACTATATAGAAAATCAAATAATTCCTTCTTTTTATAAACATGTAAAGAAAGCTAGTAATAAAAACTTTTTTCTTTCTTTCTTTCTTTCTTTCTTTCTTTCTTTCTTTCTCTCTCTCTATCTCTCTCTCTATCTCTCTTTGTTTCTTTTACTTCTGTCAAAGACAATTAAAGGTGGGTGTGTTGAGGCCAGCAGGTGGTGTGGTGGTTAAGGTACTAGATTCCCACATGGCTGACTGACCATGGTTAAAGTCCTAGACCTGGTGGCTTGCTTTCTAACTCTCCCTTCCTCTCTCCGTCTCTCTAGTCAAACTGAATAATAATAATAAATGGATAAAGTTTTTTTTAAAAAATTTTAATCTCATAAGGAATATCTACCAAAATTCATAGTAAGTGACATATTTAAAAGTGGTAAGTGGGGGCCAGCAGATGGTGTAATGGTTATGTTGCTGAACTCCCACATAGTTGACGGCGGCTCAAGTCCTGGGCCTGGCAGCTTAAAACTCACACCGAGTGTATGTCTGTGAATGTCCCAAGGCATGAATGGAGAAGAAAGGATTGTGACATTTTGTTCTCTCTGTCTCTCTGGTGAGCACATGCACCCTTTAGCAAAACTCTCTTTAAATAAACCATCAAAAAAATGGTAAGTGGGCAGGCCCCACAGTGCAATGATTAGGCGCTGTGCATTGAGAGACAGATCCCATGTGGCTGACTGCATTTCGAGTACCATCCCCAGCAAGTTGAAAAACATGTCTGTTTTTCTCTGTCTCTCTTTCTCATGAAATAAAAAAATTTCAAAAAGTGAAGTTAGAAATGTTACAATTAACAAAAGTGTCACAATTAATCCAGATAAGGAAGTTCATTATCACTGCTTCCAGAGTATATAATTGTAATTTCTAGTTAATTAAATAGATAAGTGATAGAATATAATAATTGGGAAGAGATGAATTACTTGTGCACAAAATAATTATGTACATATAAAATTCACTGGAATCTACTCACCAGCTATTAGATTAATAAAAGTAATTCATCAGGGTTACTGAATATAAGTTTAATACACACAAATTGATGGTGTTCATAGACACAAATAACCAATTAAAGTGTTTTTAAATGGCAGCAAAAACAAGAAAACTAAACATTTAAAAAGGTATGCAAGATGTTCATGTCACATTATATTTTTATTGAAAGACATGAACGGCTGGATAGACCATATCCATCTACATAAATGGAAAAATCAATATTTAAATTAAAGGAATAAAATATAATATTGAAAAAGGACAAATTTTTAAATTTCAGAAAGCAAAATAAACAATGTAAAGACTAATAGAAAAATCACAGGACAGTGTATATAAAACACCAGTATATGTAAAGTTGAAAAAATAAGCTAAAAACTTAGAAATGAGATTGGTCATGCATAAAATCAGGAAAGTGATATTATCCAGTACATATTAAATAATTATGAAAATCAGTAAGAAAATTATAATAAAATATAATGAACAATTGACAGAAAAGAACATGAGACTAGCTAATAAATATACACATTATCCTCTTTAATAATTAGAGAAATTCAAAGGAAATTATGCAAAAAAACATTTCTCATCTTATTTAACAATGCCAACCTGGATATATTGTTGAGAAAGAACAATTTGAAGGACCAGCAATTGGCGTAATAGCTATGTTGCTGGACTCTCATGTAGTCAGCTGCGGTTGGAGTCCTGGGCCTGGAGGCTTAAACTCATGCTGGGCGCATGTGCATGCCTGGCCAGGATCCCGAGAGGAGAATGGAGGAGAACAGATTGTGGCGTGGTCATACCCACTGGGAGATGATTTCTTGCTTTCTGCCTCTCTATCTCTCTCTGTCTTTCTGGCATGCCCTATAGCAAAAACGTCTCAAATAAATAAATAAATAAATAAATAAATAAATAAAAGAAAAATTTGAAATTATTACCAAAGAAATTATAAATT